AGAAGAAGAAGAAGAAGAAGAAGAAGAAGAATGGGACATGCATGTACTGTAGGTGGTGCCACACAAATATACGTGTGTGGGTGTAGCTGAAGACCCATGACTGTCAGACTGTTTCCAGCAGCAAGGTAAATAAACCGCATTTACAAATAGATATGGTTTATTGAACAATAAAACACAAGTGAAAGCACCACCATCCATACCCTCCCTCTCTTTGTTCCCGGTCTAGCAGATTCACAGATAGCAAAGGCCCGTGTTCACACACCCTGTTCAGGTTACACACACGATTCTCCTGTTTGCTACACCAGGCTTTGTTCAACACCAACGAAATAATGTGGCAGGTGACCAGTGACAGGGACGTAGCCGTTCCTGTATCGCTTTAGACATTATTTACCGACGCCTCCTTATCTCTACTGAGCTCTCACTCTGCTGATTGTACAGCTCTGTGGTCGTTCTCTTCCCATAGCCTGTGGTCAGATCTCTCACCACGGCGTCGTCAGGGTCTCTGTGCCCCCTGCACACGCCGCCCTGATCACTCCTGTTGCCAACCCCTTCCAAGCCTGCCAGTGTCAGTCCTGCCCAACCAGCTTGGAAAAATACCGGCCTGTTTAAGCCCCGTTCTGAACAACACTGGGAAAAGTGCAGCTCCAAGTCTCCAGTGGAAACAAAGTTGTGCTTTTTTTCTTCAGCGACAGAACTTTCCTAATCCTCTACTCCCACCCCACCCTTCGCCGCCCCCGCCTCTGCAAAACCGCCACGGTAACGGCCCCGACCCACACTGCCAGTGGTATGCGCACTCGGGACTCTCCCACACAGGCCCCTTGCACAGGCAGTGCACAAAGGAGACACTGCGGTGCTAATGATGACCTTTCTGCTCCCCAGTCGCTCAGACATGCGGCGCCTGAATTATCAGCCTTCTGCTCCTCATATATTTGAAAAATGAAATGCATCTATTAGAGAAAAGAATAAGGATTTTACTGATCTGTCACTTTTTTCACTCCTTTGTTTGTAAGTGTCTGGCATGTTCTAAAGTGCCTTCTGAACTGCCGGTTCATGGACAGAGAGGTGCAAAGAAGAGAAGGCGGAAAGTTGGACGTGACCAGTGTGCAGTGGTTATGGGTCTTGGAGCTCTTTAATGCTTTTCATTACAATGAGCATTGAACTGTGTGATTTCCCTGCTTTCTGGGTCATCCCCCCAACTCCATCCCTCCCCCCCTCTGTCGCTGACTGTGGAACGTGTGGCATTCAACTCAACCACTGGACAGCCACACCACAGCTCACAGACCCTGAGCACACAGCAACCAGACCCGGAGGCAGAGAGCACTCTCAGATAGATAGATAGGTTTTTAGGAGGTTTAACTGCGGACACAGGGGTTTCCCATTTCGCAACAACACAAAGTAGATGAGTGTAAACTTGCGACATGAACAGAAAACATCTGTTTCACTTTTGCTATGACCACTTCACCTTTTCTAACTGACTCACTAAAATTCGAAGACTTGGTGTGGGCGAATCACAACAGCTAAAATGCCTTTCTGAAGGGACTATCACTAGAAGCTCAGGCTAAGAATTCAGGCCCAGAATGGGGGGGGGGACTGCGTGACAGTCTACGTCGATATGCACCTACAACAGGATGTACGGCAGTGACATCTGAGCGTCTCCGCCGCTGACTGACAAAAACAGGGCAAATCAAAATCTCACTCTCAAAGCCTGTGTTCTTAAATGGAGTCCCAGAAGCAAGGCAAGAAAACACTGGTTTTAAAAACATGTAATTTTGTTGGTATAATTTATAGAACTTTCAAACTAAGATCCAAAACTGTTTTTGAAAAATTGTTCCAAGTACAAAAACTATGCAGTCTTCACACTAAGAATCTGACCTGACACATTAATTTTCAGTGACAAACCCAAGGATAAAAGTGTCTTTCTTTTCAAAGCCATGCTTATTATAATAAATATATTATAATGTTTTATATCCATCCATCTTTCATAACTGCTTATCCAGTGCAGTGTCATATTGAGCCAGGAGACAATGGGCACAAGGCAGGGGACCCATAGATAGTATGAATTGTTTTATATACATAAGATAAAATGTATCATTCAGCTACTGTCAGAAGTATTGAAACACATTTTTGTCAGCTGACTCACTGCCTAAGTAAAAGAGGCTAACACTAACGATTGCAGGCCTGCCATGACTCTGCTGTACCATACACACACAAGACATTGTTGAAACTTCACTCATTAGCTATGTGTAATAGGTCCATGTAAGCAGGCCTTCATGTAGCCACCGTTGCCGTGAATTTCACAGACGGGACGTGCATGTCTGTGCTTGTTACTTTTCCCTTTTCATTCTCGATGCCAAGGAGATGGCCACTGCAGTGACCACTCCAGGGACCGTTTGTGGGAACTCATGGAAAGTGACCTTAATCACTGTCAAACAGATCTGTTTTTATTTCTCTGGAGGCTGAAAGGGACCCTCTGTCTGACAGGGGGGGGGGGGGGGGGGGCGGGGGTTTCTCATATCTCCTGTAACAAAAGAGTCGTGGTTTTCAAAAAAAAAAAAAAAAGTTTCTTTTTCACGCACACTAAAGCCATAAAACTCAAAATGGGGTTTTTGTGAGCTGTGTTTTACTGGTGCATCAAAAAGGTATTTTTACTGTATACAAGACTACAAAACCAATTATAAGGCACTTGATACCTGTTACACTTGAGTTGTGAAATATGCTGCCACATTGACTTAAAAACACACTTTAGAAGAATTATGAAGACACCATGGAGTTTAAAAAACCATTCAGGTCCTTCTTAACCTTGAGTTATTGTTTTCTTTCCTCTTACAGCAAAAATAATACCTCTGAAAGCTATATCTGTACTCAGTTATGGTCAATACTATCCTTACAGCTAGGGGGGGGGGGATTTACACTGTCATGCTAACAATATTCAAGAATATGAAATGGAAGGGAAACATCTGTTGAACAAACGTATGTATTAAAATAACTGATTAGTAATTAATGTAATTATCTAACACTGGCAGGGAAGGGGCAGAATAAAACATCCCTAGACAAACCCAGCCCTGTGCCCTATGTTGCCCTGGCAACCCTGACCCTTAACCCGGATAAGCGGCTATAAAATGAATGGGGAGATGGATCCAAAATCAATGTGACTTCATAACATGGGAATGATATCGTGTACAGTGTGTACCTCGAGAAGGTATCAGCAATGCTGGACTAAGGTCATATAGTTCATGCAGCAGTCACGCCAAATGCTAAATATTACCGATTCTTACCCATAAGAGCCTGAAAAAGTTGGCTGTTGAACACGGCAGATACTTTCCCCATATTAATCCGCAGTGATTGTTCCTCTGGGCCGGTGAGGGTGGCCTCGTATTGTTTCAAGAGCTCCACTGCTCTTTTAGTGTCTGTGAAACGAAAAGTATACCCTAAATTTACCCCACAACCTTATTACATTCTCATCGCCAGACATTAAGTTGTAAATATGCATTATACTTCTTCTTAACACTGATCAGGTCTTTAAAATATTCTTTCGTACGATTACGCACATCTTTTATGAGCATCTCCGACTGCGCCATAAATAGAACGACGTGATTGTATTGCATATAGGCTCCTTAGTTCCGTAACACATGGTTCTCAGTAGTTATTTTGTTTTTTTGCGTACTAATAAAAAGTGGGCCGTCATATACCTGGGGGGCATCCCTGTTAGAATACAAGAATAACGCCGTATTGTTGCGCATGTTAAGTCTGCCTGGGGCTGGTGCGCCGAGGGAGGGGGGGACGCGCTTTGTCGCGGTGACGCTTCGGGAGGCGCGCAGATGTTGGGCGAGCTGTCCGTGCGTGCAGGTGTGGGATGGGGGCCGAAGCAAACTCCCCCCCTCCATCAGCTGCCCTAACAGCCATTACCCCGTCCCGAAGTTTGTTCTGTATCGCGCCGCAGAATGAGTAACTTGGGAGGAAGGAGGGAGGGCTCGCGTCACACGGTGAAAAAGAAACTATAAGTACATCGCCCTCATTTACATTTTTTCGAACAAGTGTTACAGATACTCCAGTCAGAGGAATATACAGCCACAATCCGTTAATACGATAGCGGTTTATGTTACAGTTTATCACTCCGAATGAACGATAAAGTATTATATTGGTAATAACCAAGGAGGAAAATGTTGTTTAACTTACCGGTTTTGTGCACCATGTTATATAAAACTTAACGGTTTTTTGTTAACTCCAAAGGATGACGACGGAGGCACATATGGCGCTTAAGCCGTTTTCGTCATACGAGACTATCAAAGTGAACCCCTAACAAACAGAAAGGGGCGCATAACCGGTGGTGGGCGCCGCATGGCCGCGTCCCGCAGCGCTGAGAGCCGGTCACTCTGCGTTTGGGAAGCGCCACCCAGCGCGTCACTGTCAGCCCCCCCCCACACGCCCGCCCGCCTCGGACCCTGACAGGATGAGGGGGGAGGCCCGGCGGCTCCACGTCACTGTCAGCCCCCCCGCCCCGGACCCTAACGGTGTGGAGGTGGGGGTACCCGCCCGCTCCCCGTCACTGTCACCTCCCCGCCTCGGAGCCTGACAGGTTCAGCGGGGAGGGGAACCCGGCGGCTCGTGTCACTGTCAACCACCCACCCCCCCGTCTCGGACCCTGACGATCTGGGGGAGGGGGCGGTGACCGCTTCAAGCCGCGCGCGGGCACCGAAGCCAAAAATGTGTGTTGCTTCAGCTGTACGACTTTCATTTACTAAACGCATCTGATACTTTATTTAACTTGGCCGCAATAGCCTGGCCCGAAGTTCAAGCTGCTTCTCAGTTTAGTTCAAAAATAGGGAATTACAACTTACAGTCGGTGAATGAACCGACCAACTCTGCCACCCAGCGGCCATTAATGTACTTCATGGTACATTTGCGGTTGGGCCATGCAAACCTTATCATTCACACGGCTAAAATAAAGATAGACAAATGACGCAGTGAATAAAGACATTTACCCGATATATTCATGAAGATTCAATTGTCTTTGATTCATTTTTTTAATTCATATATTTGTGTAGTCTGTGGAATATAGAAATACAAAACTTTACATAAGCAAGTTATTAATTTCAATTTTATAAAATTATGAAATTAAAGTCTCAGTTTTAAAGTGGCCATTTTATTAGGCAAACCAGCCTAATAACAGGTAGGAGCACCAGGTCCCCAAGGAACTGTATTCTCAGGAATAGATTCAACAAGGTGTAGGAAACTTACAAAGGTTCGTGCATCACATTGCATACTTAGATTTCCTATTGCGTATTTTCTCCTCATTACCAATGTTTTTTTCATCCTCAGAACAGATGCCAGATCTTTCTTATTTTATCACACCATGCTCTGCTAATTCTAGACAATGTACTGTTCAAAAATCCCAGCATAGTGGCTGTTTCTGAGATGGTGGAACCACAATTGACACAAACAATCATGTATCCCATTCACAATCACCTTATCCCCCGTTTGGAGGAACAGGTCGTTCACATTAATAAGCACTAATAAAGTGGCCACTGGATGTATATTACCAACATCCATGCAAACACATACACTATGTAATTGTTTAAAAAATATGAAGTACAATATTCTTTTTTTTTTTTTTAATAAGCCATAGTGGTAACTAGATTAGTACAGTAGCATTTTCAGTCTCAATCTGGACTACAATACAGAGACATTTAATCAGAATCATAATGTACAAAATCACTCTGCCCAAGCAAACCCAGATACAGAAGATCACCACAAGAGGAAAAAGAACTTTTCCACTTTAACTACACTGGTCATTTGTCAGATTTTGGAATTTCACTTTGAGAAACCTGCACTTAAGATGTAATGCAGTTTAAGGGAGACTCATTTCTCTTGATGGTTTATTCTATAGAACAGTCACTATTATGTCTTCTTCCTTAGTGGGGTCATTGTTTTCTCTCTACAAGATGAAATAAAAAAAGGATGTTATTGCAGAGCCTCTGTACCAGATATGGACAATTTCTCCTTAATTCACATACATTCTTCATTTCAGAATACTACAAAACAGCGACCTCACTTTCGGGTAGTAATATTTCACAGCATCAGACATTTGAAACCCCACAAAGCCTTTATACCGATAACCTACAAATCATTCACAAAACACTCAGCAATGAGGTTCATTTATGAAACAGATGTTCAATGTAGATTTCGTTTACTTTGTTTCCAAACATTATACAGAAAAAGGGGTCAGCTTTTGTCAGTCACAGCTAACGCATAAAGCACAGTATTACTGGCTGTAGTTGTTCACGGGAAGGTAGCGTAGGCTGGCCTTGCCTGGAAGAGGAGCGTGTAGTGCAGGATGAGCTCACGGGTGACGCGAACCATGTCTGCACTCATGGAATACTCCTGGAACAGCGTGGGGACGAATACCACCGCCAGGTTGTGGGCGGTCATTCGGTTCTCCTGACTGTACAGCTGAACTCTGCAGGTTAACATATCGGCATGGGTACACGTCAGACTTAGAGCGAAGGCCAAAGAGAAACAGCAATTAAAGTCCACTTTAAGCCCTTCTGGAACATCAATGCAGTGCTAAAGGCATAATTAATTGTCCTGGTACCGCATGAACAGGAAGTGAACTGAGCATTCAGTTTCCCCCCCTCAAATTTACTCATTTTATAACCAAACCTCCACTGACTACAATCTTACTTTTCATACTGATGTCTACACACAGACACCAGAGATAGTCACATTTGGATTACATTGTTACAAGTGTGATAACCACAATAAATGGCCTGAACTAACTTAACAAATCCAGTTGCACAAACAGCTGGAAATGTAATCATTGCCCAGGATTCAGGTCAACATACTAATAATTGTAACACTATTACTTAAGGCCACGTTTTTAGTCATTTTTAAACACATTCATAAAAAATAATAATGCATTCATAAAGCATCAACGTGGCTATAAATATTTATAAAAAGGCATGACATTATAGCCATGTTTACTAAGCATTATGACTGCTTTATGAAGCTTATTACAAATCATCCATAATGCTTATACCGACCATTATAATGCATTAAAGTTATCCATAGTGCATTATAGTCGAGAGCTTCATAGAGCATTTTTATGAATATATTTATGAACTACTAAAAACATGGCCTTAAGTAAGGTGTTACCCAAATGATAAATGAGAGATTATTAAACAAAAAAAAACATCACATGTAGAGGTGTCCGCAGAGGGCACTGAGGCTTATTCTGTTGTCTGGTGGCAGCTGGTCCAGCAGTTTGCGGTAAACTTGCAGTCTCTGGGCCTCTTCTGCGACAGCTGGGAGAACAGATAACACAATACGGAAGGAGGTGGGCTTCTTTCAAGCTGCAGGTAGGCATAGTGTCAGGTAGGGAGAGCATAGCCAGCTACTTGTTTCTGGGATGGACTCCATATAAAGACAGATGGATGGATGGCTGGATGTGGATGGCTGGATGGATTGATTGCTGGGTGGGTGGATGAATGGATTGATTGCTGGATGGATGTGGATGGATGGAGGGATTGATTGCTAGATGGATGTATGGATGGATGGATTGATTGTTGGATGGATGTCTTAATTACTTCAGACTTGATCAGGGAAGCCCATCAGATAATGGCGAGAGCTGTAGCCACTGCTGGCGTTCGCCTTGCCAGACGGCTCCTGATGAAAGCCTAAGGGGCACAAATCCGTATGATACCTGAAGCCTTCACCCAGTGCTCCATGTTCGAGCCCGGGATGAGCACCACCTTCTGGCGGACAAACTGCTTAAGCGCCCCGGCCACGTCCAGCACGCTCAGCTCGTCCGTGTCCAGCCGGGTTTCCTTGGGCGACCGGCTGAGGGCCTCCACCAGCTGGGTGATCTTGGTCACCATGCCACATCGCCGATAGATACCCTCCACCTTTAAGCCTGGAAGCCAAACCATGGAGCTTAAATGGAGAAGTTCCACATGGCCTGAGCTGTAATTTGAGCTACATTTTGTCTGGCATACGAGTCGGTGCTTATCCATACAATCATCAGGTCTTTAACAACTTTACATGGCTGATTTAAAACTGATAATCTTGATGTCAGCCATGCTTTATTAAACCCCCGATGTCACTGGTCTCTGTGGGCGTTTCCTTGCCCCTTCTGCACCTCACCAGCCAGCCAACATCTGTAAATTCCCTCCTCTGAACACGTCAGCCACAAAAAAGTCCCTCCATCAACATTTAGTTCTCTCTTTTGCCATTATCTGCATTTTCAGTTGTGCTCATGCTGTTGTGGGACCAAGCTATTCTTGGAAAGATCCGGAAATGACCTCGTGCCTTTAAACATCATTTTCTGCCAACTGGTCGTGGTGAGTTACCAGAGATCACTGCATACAACCCATTCCCTTTCTATTGGGCAAGCAGTAGAGCTAGGGGCAGATCTAAACGCCATTTTACACCAATTCCATAAAAAAAATTTTTTGCACAAATAAACTGTATAATCATTCTGAAACTAACAAATGTATTTCTGTCAAAGCTTTCATACCAAGTCTGACAAATTTGCATTGTCAAGATCTGTCATTTTTATTTTTTATTTTGAGAGAGCTAGACTGCAGTTCTGCAGACCAATAACCTAAAATAAGTGGCAGACCCAATATTCCTGCTTCCCCTGGCGCTGTCAGCTTTCACACTGAAATGGTGACCCGTGGGAGAGAGATCAGCTCGGTGCATCGCGGGGGTTAGACTGCCGTGCAGAGCCGAGGGCCGGCCGTCCTCACCGTGCACTGTGATGTGCGAGATGCACCTCTCCATGGCCGGTGGCATGGAGCCCACGGCAGAAGCGGGCAGCTGGTACAGCGAGCGGCGATGGGTCTTCTCTTTGCCCAGCAGGGCCACCTTCAGCAGCACGTCCCAGCACTGGCAGGGGGAGTCCATCTCAAACTGGAGGGTCAGGGTCCTGCAGGTGGGACACTCAGAAAAGTCAACAGGGCACATACTGCAGACAGAGGGACACGAGCAACAAACGGGCTTCAAGCAAAATAAAGACTCTGCACACAGGGCGCCATCTTCTGACGGGGCACTGACATAGCAAAATCGCCAGTGCTGCTGAAAGAAGCTTCATCGCTGGCGCCCTCCCCTGGCGGGAGGACCAAAAAGCATAAGTGAGATTGGGCGAGAAGTTTGCCAGGGAGGCGGATGCCAGCAGAGAAACTTGCCAAATGTTTTATTTGCGCTTAATCTAAACCGGGTGTTGCCTTAAACAAAGGTGCACTAAAGAATGTAGATACGTACATTACTGTAAGATTGTTACATTATTTTGATGCATCACTTTGTATTTCACTACTGAATGTAATTCAGCTGATTTCCACAGAGCACATTTTATAACAGTCGCCCCAAAACACGTAACGACGAGCATATTCAGCAGAAACGTTTTCACCCTTCCGGGGTTTTCTTGTCCTCACCTTTTTGCGGTGGCCACTTCAATCGTGTTCTCGGATGCATTCAGTTCTGCAGACAGAAAGCAAAATCAATCAGATTTTTCCCCCTCTGATTCCCTTGACCATATTGACGTCGTTAATCAATCTTGTTTGCTGTAGTCATTAGATGTAAGATATTAGGTATTCAGTGGTCAAATTAAAAACATTCAGCAGAATTTATCCCACGTATGACCTTCAACAAAATGATCTAGCTGTGATTTATGAGACAGCTACAGTAAGGTATTCTTATTAACTCTGTGACTGGCAGAACACAACGCTAGAAACTAGCTAATTTGCTCTTTGACTGATTTTGTAGCTGAACAGTCAAACAGAAGCTTATTGCCGTTTCTGTTTATACTCTGTTTTGTGTCTGGTTCCACACAGGAACATTACCGCCTTTCGCCACCGGAGGCACTCACTGTGGGGCCTGTCTGCAGTCAGTTGCAGCCTGTCCATTGCGCCGTCCTTGTTGTGGTAGACGAGTAGCTCGTCATACCTGAGTGCCACCCAGGCCTCTGAGTGCTGAGGCGAGGTTCCATCCCGCACCAGGACCCGGGACACGGCCTGCACCCCCTGTAGGTCCTCGTCGGAGACGGTCCCCGGCAGGATCACCTTAAGGCCAGAGAACAGGCACAGCTCTCAGTGCCACATTCTCCATCTTTACCAGCCAATTCCACACTTCATCTCACACCATTTCATTGGGTCTCAAAACCATATAGTCCAAAATATAAAAAATAAATAAATAAAAAACCAAATACCCAGTAATACCCTAAAGCACTGGGTCCCCAAACTTCGGTTTCAGCACATGACCCCTAAAATAAAGTCTCACAACCATTTTGCGGGGTTCCCATGTTAAATGTCACCCATCACATTTTTCAATCTTCATTAACATATTCTATGACCTTCATGACCTTCCCACCGGTCTCTCACTGACGTAAACCATCCCAAAACACATTTCAACCTGTCATGTTATGGAACAGCATAAACATACACACAGTCCAGGATGTCTCCGTTTGACTCTATAATTACGGTACCTTCAGAATGTGCGTCAGGTGTGACAGCAGATCCTGCCGTGTGTCAGCACTGCACAGGAGCTTGTCAGTCAGCGTCAGCACCTCAAACTCATTGGTCGGTCTACGGAAGGCGACATCGTGATACGGTTACTAGGTGTCACGCTGACTTTTAGGTAGACACAGTTAAAATGATATTTATGCCTGACTGTTCCATTGATGCAGTTAACCTCTTCTTACCCAGAAGAGCAGTCAAAGACCGAGACGACCTCCTTCAGGTCCATGACATCGCAGGCGGCGGAGTCGTTCTCCTGGGAGAACAGGAAGCGGTCGTCCTCCAGCTTCCCGTGGAGTTCCTCTTCTCCTGAAGAAAGACCAGACTGATGTCTGCCCTAAGATAACTAAATTCACAGAAGCTTGGATTTACAACCTAAAGTCTGAGAAGTGGTCCAGTTTTATTACTTTTAAATTGGACCGTAAAATATCCAGTTTCAGGTCTTTGATAACAGCCTTTAAGTCAGTGGCTTATATCGCTGTCATCACTGCAGAACACATACAAGGAAAACAACATCATAATCTGTGCGGGGGGACGGGGACGTTTTCCTTGGATTTATTATTTTTTTTTTAAAAAGCTTGAGAAGCAGCGCTTTAAGCGATTAAGGCTGATGCCATTACTTTACAGTCAGCCCCGTGAACAGAAGGGTTTCTCATAAGGGGATTTCGGTGGGTGGGACCATCATGCACTGGCAACCTGCAGCCGGCCTCACTGATTCCTCAATGGTTCACACCAAGCCGTCACTGTGAGCGCATAGCCTCACCCCCACCCCCCCAGAGAATTTAAAGCTTAATCCCTCCCATCACCAGCACAAGGTTTTGTAGAGTTACCTGCACTGAAAACTACACTGAAATATATGCAGGTGTGAACAAGCAAGTGAAAATGCAACTGTAACATTTTAAAAAACCTCACCACAACCATGCCCTAGTACTGGACGCAAAGTCCCTTAGATATTACCTGAAGAGGCTAAATCCATCGAGCGGGATTGTTTGCATAACTTCTTAGAAAAGGTTGGAATCTCTGCAGGAACAAGGAAAGTGACGAAACACAAATGAGTATCAGCATTACTGATGTCCTGAACAATAATAATTGAAAAAATATTAAGTATTGCCAACAGGTATAAAGTAACGCAGAGTTAAATAAATAAATGGCTGAGGGCTTATTTTTCCCCTGGGTAGGCTTGTTTAAATATTGCAACACTGTAACAGAGATATAGGCAGCAGTACCTGTGAACTCATTGTGCCGCAGAAGCTCTGTCTGCAAAGCCTGTCCCGCGTTCTCAGCCAGCGAGATGGGGGAGGGGAATTTGGGGTCGCACGACTGGCACTGGACGCGAGCTCCGGACGCCAGCAGCGATAAGGTCTCTGGCACGTCTGGGCCGCGCACCACCTCGCACAGCCTCTGCAACAGGGAGGGGCACGCCGGTTACCATCCGCCGCGGCTTTCCCGAGCACGAGCCGTTTCGCCGGAAATGCGGCGGCACTCAGTCACAAGGCTGTTTGCAGAAGTGATGAATAAGCAAATGAGTCAGTTAATATTTTTGAAACATGTTGGAAATCTCAACCTTTCAGCTCCTATCTCATGAACTGAACAATATGAGTAGAGTATAAACCTCATTCTGGCCGTACCACACGGCTGCTTTTTAGGGTATACTAATGGCATTGGCATAAAGAATCTTCTTTTATAACTTACATTTTTAAAAACCCAGATAAATTTAACAGACTGACTGTGTTCCGATCTCAGAGAGCCAAGGAGAGTGACAAAGACGTTTTGAAAGTGAAGTGACCTGTTAACGCGTCAGTGTATAAAACCCACTGTCGCCTATTAACATTCTGCTTCGAACCTCATACCGCACTATACTTTCACTACGCTGACACTTCCCGGACTCCTGTGGCATTTTCTTCCTCGGAGAACCGTTTATTCGTCTTTATACCCGCTTTATTCTTTATTCATTTTACGCATGATTTATTTAGCAAACGCTTCTGTCCAAAGCGACGTACAACTGAGGCAAACTACAACACAAACAAACAGCTATCATGGTGTCCATTAGGCATTAGTGCGGCTCGGCTGAGCTCCCAGGTGTGAGCAGGAGCTACACAACAGCTTCTAACAAAGCAGGAACCTAAGAAGACAAACGTAAAAAGGAACAGGCAAAGTGCCACACAGCGCATACAGGGAACAGAGTGGTGAACTTTGTGCCAGGATGTATAGTTTATAACATACATATCACTGGCAAACTGTGATAAACCTGTATTATTATCAGTTTTGACCAAATAAGTCTTTTTGCAAATCAAACTCCCTGACGACCAGCATTTGCAGGCGGTGGCGAGTGGCTCAGTGTCTGATCGGAAAATGTCTGTGGGCCCTTGAGCAAGGCCCTTAGCCCCCAGCTCCAGGGACACCGCTGCCCCTCACAGTGACCCCTAAGCGACAGACAGACAGACAGACAGACAGACAGACAGACAGAGACAGACAGACAGAGACAGACAGACAGACAGAGACAGACAGAGACAGACAGACTACACGATTAGACGACACAGGCACCTGGTTCAGCAGCTTCAAGCTGGAGGCCAGAGGGTGGGGCCGCTTATAGCGCCCCCTGCAGTACTTGGCTTTGGTGAAGGCGGCGCGCTGGTTTGGGGAGGAGTCCGGCTGTATCTGCTCTGCGGCCGGCACGCTGTAGCCCCAAACGTCATTGGCAGCCTTGTTCCCGTACTGCATAAACAGCTGAAAGCGGCGAGATGAAAAGATTTAAAACAATAAAGAGGAACGTGACTGAAAAGCAGGGACGACGGCAACTCAGAAAGACGCCAAATCAAAAGGTAGGTCAAGTTAAGTCAAGGGCGCTGTATTATTACACCAGCTGTACTTACTAGGGTTGTAACGGGACTCAAATTCATCATGTACCGTTCGGTTACATCATTTTCGGTTCAAAATGAATCCATACATTTATTCATACGGACGGAACCTAAATTCAGAAGTAGAGGCTCTACGCGTAAAACATCATGGTAATTGCGGCTGTGAATTCGTTAAGGCCAATGGTGGTTACAGCCAGTCGTAATCGGTGGTTTGGGAACCTTTTGGTTTCCCAGTAAACTACACCAACACTGGAGAGAGAGTAGCTGGTAAAACCAAGGCAGTCTGTCGACTCTGTTAAAGCTGAGCTTGGATATGTTGCTGGAAACACATCCAACATGCGAACTCATCTGGGAAGTCATGAAGCGAGTGTCTACGACCAGAGCAGAGCAGAATCAGGGTTCGGGTTAAAAAAAAAATAATAATAAAAAATAAATAAATAAATAAATAAATAAAAACACACTACGACTATACGGCTACGATCATCACGACAGATCATCAATAGCAGAAAACACAAGATTTAGTTCATTACCTTTGCAATGTGCAAATAAGGGTGTCTCAGATTTCGTTATTCAGACACGTCAACAGACACACAGCACTGCCTTTTGTTTACAGCAGTTCCAAATTGTGTTTTGTTTGTAATTTTAATAATGACTTGAAAACAAATTTTGATTTCCCTGCTGCACTGGAATTGCACCAAAACGTGAACCCCAAACCCCCAGGACCACAGTATGAGATCCAAACAGCCAGTAACGAGGGGAGGGATTCCACAGCACGTGGGGGCTTATGTGGATGGTGCATGGGCTCCCCCACCTGAATCAGAGGATTCGTCCACACTTTACTGTCCATCTTCAGGCTGCGCACTTTGGACACGTTAATCCCCAGAGACCGGTGCTGACCTGCAAACCACAAGCATGCATCAGAAGAGCATTTAAAGGCTTTAGGAGGCAAAGACCGAACAGCATGCAGGCTGCTTCTCCCTGGGCTTGTGGGGGGGGGGGGCTGACCAGCGCATGCATCACAGATGACCACCAGCAGGTTGACGGACGCCCATTCGGGGCTGGCCGCTCCACAGTCAGCGCAGACTTTGTTGGCAGGGTTGACCCAGAGGCGACGCGCCACCTCACTGCAGGACAGGGCACTGCGGATGCCCTGCATCAGGGAGTCCAGCCACACATTCAGGTCCTTGGAGGAATCTGCAGAGAAGCTGGGAGGCAGATACAGGCCTGACTACATTTCCCAGAAAGCCCCACTGTGTGTCAAGCCGTTCTCCATATATACTGACATCTGTATCGCTTTAAATACTTCAAAACTGGAAACGTTACAGTGCTGTGTAAAAGTCTAACTAATAAATACCACATCAAGTAAATTAAGTTAAGCGAGTTGGTGGTGAAATGTAACAAATACATGGAATGGCTGAGGTGCCCCTAAGGAGAGGTTTGGGAACTGAAGCGGAGTTCATCTAGATATCCAGCAAGATATCAGTAACTTTTTTGAAAACACAAGAAATCATTATTGTGTCACTATTGATTTCATATATTCTAATAATGAACTGCATTTTTTCTAAGTAAACATGCACTTCCTACCTCGATAAATAGCTTTAAACATTTCCTTTGATGGCTATGAAGTTCTGCAAAGCACTGTAACTCCCTATTCACGCAGCCGAGATAGAGACCCATGGATCTGCCTGAATGCGGATCTACTGGGCGGACAGACCCACTACAGCTTAAAGAGGGAAGCGGCTGATGGAATCTCACTTGAACGTCCTGTATGGTGTTATGAGGCAGAAGCTGTGACGACCGGTCGGCTTCACCGATGCCACGTTCATGGACACGCAGGTCATCCCCACGCCGGAGCCAAAATCCTGCAGGTGAGAAAGACACACGGGAGTAACACCCAGCGGACATACTGCCTACCCCTGACACAGCACACGGGAGTAACACCCAGCGGACATACTGCCTACCCCTGACACAGCACACGGGAGTAACACCCTGCGGGCATA